AAAAAAAAAATGTTTATAAAGGAACTATTTACATTAATAAACTTGATGCGAAAGCATAATGTACGTTAATGTAAATGCATCAGAGTCAACCAAAGAATCCGTTGAGAGTAAAAGTCATGAGAAATGTGTTAGCATAAAAAATAAAATAGCAAAAAGAAAACGTAGTGATAACAGAAGATTTATCCCAAACAAATCAATGTTGTGTTTGAAAAAACACTATTTAAGAATAAAACAACATTTGTTATTTAAGCGTAATGAATTTTATACACAAATACTTTAATATAAAAATGCTGATTAATCAAAAGTGGTTTTTCCCAATAACAGAGTGTAAGTCAATATAGCCACAAACCACTGATAGAGGAACTCCATTTCAAATGTACAGACTAATAGAAGATAACTTATTATTAAATGTTTTAGGCCATTCCAACCTCAAATATTGTCGCTGTATATAAACGTTCTAATATGACAGTGCCCTGTATGATGATGTTACTTGTGTGAACCACAGGCCTGAGTCACTTGGAGAATGGGCCGAGTGTTTCAGTGGACTACAACACCCAGGACCCTCTGATCCGCTGGGACTCATATGAGAGTTTCAGCCATCGCTGTGAGGAAGCTGCAGATGCTGACCACGGTATGCAAATGACATACAGTGACTATTTTGGAGAGGCGAAATTCTAAATAGGGAAAAATGTCAACCAGGTAACCTGACTTTTTTGAATGAACCACCTGGATAGGAGATTACTGCTTTTTGTACACACAGGAATATACAAATATGAAGAAGACTGAAACAGAAAACAGAAACAAAATCATATATATAGTTTGTAATAATAATAATAATACATATAAGTATCAACCTATCTTTCACAGATAAATCAAGTTCCTCACCCTTATCAGATCAAGATCTAGAGCCTTGACCAAAGGGAAGGATTTCCTGTAAAGCCCTACACCCTCCTCCTCCTCCTCCTGCTACTCTCCCAGCTTGTCAGTTAGGACTTTAAATAGCTGCTGAAGAAATAGGGGGCGTCAGTCACCCTGTTACTGGCTGCTCCCTCCCTGAGGGGGGTGTAACTTAAAACACCACCGGGCCTAACTCCCGCAAGTGCCCCTATTCATTTCTCTCCACTCTGAGCTATTGCTTCTGTGCCAGGAGTCCAGAACTTAAAATGCGGGCACTCCATAAAATGCTAAACACCCATTATAGAAGCTGTGTTTGTTTTTTTTATCTAAAGTATTTTTTACTTCAGAGCCCTGATTTTTGAAATATGGCACAAAGAAAGGAATGTTTGCTTGTCTGATTGTCAGCCATGTAATGCAAAAGTACGCATGTCCTTGTAGCTTATGTTGTAGCTTTCTCACGAATATGCTACAAACCTACTTTACATAGCGTTTGGCTTTTGTTAATGTTTATATATCCAGTGTGCAAATGAACAACTGGAGAAGTGGAATCACTAACACATCATCATCATCATCACTGCTTCTGCAGTTCGTAAAATGTATTTTTGGCTACTTACAATAGCTGCCAGTCTGGCACGGTCCCTTGGATCCTCTCAGTAATGATGAGATTCATGATTACTGCTGTTAATCAAAGAAATCTGCACAAACAGGAGGATGTAGTCACCCTTGGTTGAGTCAGGACTTGGCAGTCTTTGTAGTGCTGCGTCCACTTTTATATATGGGATTTTTTTCTTCCAGCTTTGCAAAGACCCATTTCATTTTTATGAACATCCCCAGAGAACCGTTGCAGTAATTGCTGTGCTGCAGGAAGGTCAGTGGGAATCGCCAGGATTGCAAGTTTGATCCTAATTGAATGGGCAGCGGTGTTCGCAGCACTCAGCAGAAAAAAATAACAAAAAACTCCCAGCCAGTGTATTCATCTCTCTAATTGCAGGCTTCGCTCTTACACTTGGATGCGGGCGTGTGGATGCTGAGTCGAGACTTGCGCAGGAATATGGTGTCTGTATTCACAAGGTTTGGATCAACAGGGGATGCTCTGTACCTTAGTTGTTTTGGAAGACACAAAACTGAAAATGCAAGATTCAAAGAATTGGTTAACACAAGACTGATGAACAATCTTCTTTTTGGCGTTTGATAAAATATAACCACCTCTGTGAAAAAAGGTTAATCACGTGTACGATGTACATTTGAGATGGCAAGCCCACACAAACTCCAAACTCTTATAAGCTCTATGACAGAATGGCCTATTTTTAACTGCTCCAGCTCAGTGGACAATGATCACTCGTCGGGTCTCATTTAAATAATTGAACAAACGCTTCATCCTCAGGTGTTGATGTCTGAATACTTTTGAGGTTTGGCGAGCTCTTCCTGACGCCATTTTTAACAGTCCACTGACCTTGGAAATCCAGTTGAGAGAACTCGGTGAAAGACGGTCATCTTAAAAAGGTCTGAAGGATTTGGTAGCTTAGAGATGTGTGTGGTTCATACTGACGCACAGGCACATGGACAAAAAAAGGAGAGGAGTCTGGTATGTGCCCGGCTGTTTGTATTATACAGTGTTTTTTGCTCTATATGGGCATGCAAGCTGGTCTGTGTGCTTGTAAATATTTGCATGTTAGTGCAGCTCTGTTGCAGTTTTTCATGAGGTATGCAGGAGTGCATGTTTATGTAGTGCACCTTGTGTTTGTCGGCTTCCCTTTGCTCCACTAGAAGCCCTGTGGTCTGGAGGCAGCTGTTGGCCCAGAGGTCAAATCAGTAAAAAGGCAACCATTTGGCCCAATGGGTGGCCATAGAGATTTGTACCTCAGCTTGGCTGCTAACCCCTTAAGAAGACAACATTTTCCAAGGATAAACTAATAATCATAGCTCCGAACCTCTAACTGGTCTGGTCTTGTCATCACTAATGGCCTGGCTAAAAAGCCAAGGAACACACTATTGTAGCAGAATTGAGGGATTTCATGACAGGTGGGGGTAGAAGACCTGAGCCATCACTCATTTCTTGCATTTGGTTCGCAGGGAGTCCGATTTTTTTTTAAACTTTTTTTAACATTGTCTTGAGCAACAGCTGTCCAACTTTCTGAAGGTTTTTCAATGTTTTTCCTTGGACATTGGCAGTTTTTTCACTCATTTTCAGCCCAATCCTTGTACGTGAACATTTTCCAGATTGGTTTTTTAAGTATATAATTATTAAGAAACTTAACACTGACCTATGAGTTTTTAATAATTAACAAAAAAATATTGTTTAAATTGTATTGTATTTTAAATTGTGAAAACTTGGTGTATCTTGGCATTTTGCGCAGTGGCTGGCCAAAAAAATACCTACAGCAAATGAACAGTATCTGAAAGTCATGTCCTTAAGAAATCAAAAAAGCTGATCCTTCTACTGTTCACTAAAGCCTCATTAGAAGTGGTCTCAGTGGAAGGGCGGCTGTCAGGAAGCTATTCTTAGTGAAGGGAAACAGGGAGAAAAGACTGAGGTATGAAAATTACACAAAAACTTGTCTGATGGAGTGTTGAATCCAAATCATCATCAGTATGTATGTTGGAGGTCAGGAAAGAGGTACAACACTGTCTACAGTGTCATGGTTTGGGATACATTTCACTTTTAAGAAAATCTCTAACACCACTGACTGAATTACAAACACATAACAGTACCACCAGAGTTCGATCCAACATGCAATACCAACTGGAAAACATTTTATTCAAAAATGAACGCTGTAAATCATGGATTGGCCTCTCCACCTTAACATTGCTGAAGCAGTTTGAGATCATCTTGACAGATAAACATACTATATTTTCATGTATGTTCAAACATTTTAATAAATCACTGTGCCTATACCGCATTTTCCTACCAAAATACAAAAGAATGAAGGATGACTCCAGACTTTTGCAGCAAAGGACACAATATGTTTGATTTAGGCATAATTAGTCTCCATCAGTATCAAAGCACTGATACAAATATCAAATATATTTGGACCCCTTTCGCTATATTTTATGAAGTCTAATGAATTAACACCATCATTTGGTGCTGGATACATTTGTGTTTTGTAATTCAGTCCTTAAGAGTTTGCAGTAACATTTAGAAGTGCTTCCTCACCTTCATCAGGTTTTCCATAAGTTTCTAAAGAATCATAAGAGCATTACATAAAATGATTGTTAGATAACTCATCTATAAAGAATGGAAACAGCCTCTAAAAACAACCTTGCCACTGGAGAGTGTGTCTGTGTGTGTTTCTGTGTCTGTGTGGTGTACAGTAGGGCAGCATGCCCACTGACAGCGCAGGCCGCCTTCCTCGTTCGCCGGCCTCCTCCCATATTTGGCTGGGGCTGAGCCCTGAAACATGTCTGGAATAGCTGGATAGAGACCGACAGAGAGACAGAGACAGAGAGGCTGAGAGAAGCAAAGACGTTTTACATTTGAGGCGTAATACAAGTGAGGATTTGATTTGAGACTGTGAGGTCTGAGTGCATTGGGAAAAGAAAAAAAAATAGTGACAGAATTAGGAATGACATAAAGTCAAGGACAGAAGAAGAGCAGCTGGAAAGCACTGACTGGTGAGTGGTTCTGTGTAGCCTTTCAATTACCACTAGCAACTTTCTTAACTTTAAATCTCTGTCAATCTCAAGTAATTGTGTCAGATGTTTTCAAGTTGTATATATTTTTTTAATTATATTGTTGCTATGTTTTTCTCTGGATAAACTCCTTTTTATGGTATTTCATTTTATATATACATCACTTTGCTTTTAGACTAGCATCTCCTTGCACTGTTGCCCAGAAAAAATTACAGAGAGAGAGTACACATTTCTGTCTATTCGGTCTATAGTTGAGTCTGTTTGTCTGTTTATTAGGTTTCCATGTCGACAGTGTTGCTTCCTGTGTGTTTGGCACCTATGTGGCATAAAATGACTCATGGAGCGAGCAATTTGTGTGTGGAACATTTTATGAGCGGGCTGCAATTTGGGTACACCAAAACTATTAGGGACCTCGGTTGGCTGGTAACGTCGTGTGAGCTGCAGAAAGCTTGGACTGTGACACAGTTCATGTAGGAATGAATTTCCTTTTAAAACGATGTTTGAACAATCGTAACTTTTGTAGTGAGTTGAAAATTTGGCCGCATGAGATGATACAAAATTATACAAGATTATATTCCAAGATCTGTTTAAAAACTGTTACGCGAGATTAAACTGTTGAGTCTGACTTACCTTCAGTTGCTCAGCAGATACTCATTGACAGATGATCCCTAATTAGACTCGACTTAATCATTCTCTCTCTGCTTGAGCGGGCAGCGGTGTGTCTGAAGCACACAGGCCGACACCAAACAGCTGTTCTGACTTGGACAAACACAGTGTGTGGTACTGCAGGCTGATAGTAACCTCCCTGCCTGTTATCCTAACGGAAACCCAGCTTCTGCATTCTGTGTCGCTCCAGTGACAGACAGACACTGGTTGTGGTGTTTTTTTTCCTCAGTCATTGCCATTATTTATTATTAAAAAGCTATATAATTGAATTGAGAACATTTACTGACAGATCTACTGTACACATTAAACGTTTGCAGAGATAAAACCCTGAGACATGGAGCGCAGTGGGGTATTTTAAAAGCAGCCTGCACGTGTGTGCCTCACATGACCACATAATGCTTCTAGTTAGACTTCTTGCTGACAGCACAGTGAGCGGTG